CTGCTAACAGATGGCTATGTGGAGAGACAGATGGGACAAAAACATATAGACAAAACATGAAACACTTTTTATTACAATGTTGCAATACAGTAGTAGATGAGACTAGCTGATCAGCAACACAGTATTAAAATGTTAGAGAAGTGCACCTGATATCTGAACAGGTGCTACATAAGATATATATAAGTAATTTAATTGAGCAATCAAATATGCAACACAGCAGCATATGGAACAGAAAATCAGTCCACTGTCCATCAACCCTTAGCTATACATTTTCCCTCACCAACAGCAGTACGTTTAAAACTATGTGACTCCAAATGAGTCCATTTTAACAGCTGGCTTGCTAGATATTATCTGGGCCTTATCCTTACTTGACTAGACGTGTCATCGCGTGCCGAGCAGCATAGTGCAGTGGAGTGTTGTGCTGGTAGGACTCTCCATATGTAGAGTTGGGATCTAGAGCCTCCTTAAACTGTGGGTTGCTCTCATAGAGTTGGCAGGCCAGCATCTCATCTCCATTGATGAGAGTCTTACGGAACTTGGTTGCTGTGTTCCCCATTTCTTCTCCTACTGTGGGTTCAAGCGCTGACTGACACAGCAGCCTCTTAAGTCGTCTTCAGCCAGTTTAGGTCCAATAGGCAAGCATACTGAATGTCCTAAAGGAAAGAACAAAAACAAAAATTATGTTCCTCTATGGTTCTGTCCAAGTCCAACAAGGCCTTGCTAGCTAATAAATGGCCACTGAGCTAGTCTGTCATTAAAAACCTCTATCTAGTTCTCCAAATAAGCACTGTCTCTAGAAAAGCAGCCCTAAAGTATTAATCACTTTCGTTCCCTCTGAATCACAAGGACAAAAGCACCAAGGTTGCTCAGGCTGCTCTACCACAAGCCCCTGTGCCTGCATCACTGCTGCACTATAAACCACCTCACAGTGTTTCTCTTATTTTTTTGTTTCAAATAACTACACACAGTGCCAACAAAACTCACATGGAGAGAAGGACAAGACTTCTGCTGGCATCACCAGGAGCTTCCGCCTCTCTGTGCCAATACTGCCCAGCCTACTGGGGCCATTGTGAAGCAAGATATCCTCAACGCAAGAACACGCAGCGAGCCAGCATTTCGCGTCCACCAGAGCACCATATGGTCACGGACTGTTTGGCCAATGTGAGCCCAAGTCAACAGAACACATCATCATCTCCTACAGCACAATATACACAACTTCATGATACAAAAATTAATTCATACTGAATTCTCACCACCATTCTGCACAATAATGCCTTGGTGTAGGCAAAAAAGCTCCCCAAATACCATTCCAGTATACATACCTAATGCCTAACTCTCCATGGGTTAGCAAGTATGACAAAGGAAATATTAACCATCACAGGACAAGAGATTATTTTCCACAGTTTATGTGGAGTCAAGCATGGATGAGTCATTCTCATCTAAAAGTACATGTCACAGATAGAAAAGGAGATCATTTTCATAACTCTGTCATTTTTGGGGAAATGCATTACTCACTCAATTGTTGAGTATGCTTCTAAAGCAAAATGTCTAGAGCAAGACACTGAAGAAAAAATAAAATTTTACATGTATACTTTTGGGCAGTGAAGGCACCTGGAGCAACTAGTTATTTGCAGTAACACTACCAAAGTTATGTGGTGCTCACATAGTTCAGTTAAGATCACCTTTAGCTTAAAATATAGTAATAGAATTGATGAGTTTAAACATAAATATGAAGGTATGTGTCAATCAAGATATATGCAAGAACAGGCTCAATGATTAATTAGATGGAACATTGTGGGTGTGGTGTATGAATGTTAACACTTTGTAATAATTCTTTAGTATATTACTTGTGTGGTGTAGAAGAGAATTATCTATGTAGAGATACTGCTTGCAAACCAATGATGGTAAGATGATGTCATGGGGTAGGACTGGATAAGTCTGACTTCTTCCTACTCCATTCAAGCATGTACTAGGTATAAGCAAATTGATATTGGATTATGTGTACAATCATGTGTGTTGTCATATTAACTGTTTTTACATGCTTGGAAGAATAAATCAAATCAAATCAAATCAAATCAAATCAAAATATGACCGTAATTCCCCTGTTTTTAGTAAGACTGATTATAGAAACCCTTTACAAAAAATACTTGGTGGTAGGAAGTTAGAAGGGAAGGGAAAGGGCTGGACTGAAGTGGGACTCCTACTTACTCTCTATAACATATGTAAAATAAGTTGATTTACATGCATGATTTACCTTTTTTTCCTTTATTTACTTAGCACATGTCTATTTAAATGTCTTAAACCATTACCGATATTAGAATAGGACATAACATCCAGCCATCATTGTAATAGGACCCTAACAGTTAAATAATATACCACTGTATTTAAAAAAGTAAGGAAATGTATTGATCATGTAAACAAAAAAGCCAGATGGCACAAGTTAAACTGCCTTGCATCAGTAAGTCTCACCAACAAGTGAGGACTGACAACCTTGTATCCACACAGTCAGAGGTTGAAGACAAAGGTTCCACCTTGGCGAACACTTGTAAACATCTGCTCTTTGAACGGTTATTTAAAATAACGTCGTACAAGGTAACACACACTGATAAGGTTGCTCTCCAAATGTATAACTAGCCTTACAATAGTTAAGGACACTCCCATATGGCATTACCAACCAAACACATCTAACTAACGCGATGGCTATCTAACAGTAACAACTAGCAGTGAGAACAGAGAAAAATTAAACCGTTTGTCTGCCTAGCTTGCCACTGTTGTCACATGTAGGCCTTTCTCCATGTTGCGTGGTGTTTACCATTTTCGCTAGTTAGCTCACAACGACAGCGGTGTTGTATGCTGTGTTAATGGACAGTCCGCGATAAGGCTGTGTTACATTTCTGGTTAAAGGAAACGTTCGCCAATCAAAGGACATTAGACAACATTAGCTGCAAACCACCCTGTTTGCTAAATGGCCCATTGTTGATAACAACACAACATTGTTTGCTAACTGTATGTTATCCAAAACAAAAAACATCATGACGCTAGCATCTGCGTTGGCTAACGTCAGCACATACGCTAGCAGGTCAGCTAGCAAGCTAACCGTGCTACTAGCCAACTAGCTGGCACAGTCACTCAAACTCACCATATACAATGACTAACATTGCGACTTACACAGACTGCACATCTTGCTGTTGCAGATCTGACCTTTGTAATTAACTGTCAGTCGTTAACACAAGAAAACAAAAGCGTTCCCGTTAAGGGAGGCAATCTTTCCTATAAATAACGTGTGCTCAAGGCAGTAATATTGCTCCTGTCAACTCTCCGTTGACTCGGTACAAGCTGCTATTCGGGTTGCCAGGTTGCAACGCAACCCCACAAAACAGACGGAGAAAGATGGCTCGCTTTTGCCTAGGTTGAGTTATTGCACTTTGTTACCTACATACTGTTAAAGCAGACTCTAATTCCAGTGACACCGACATTAATCAAGTCTCATCGTTTGCATCCAAACGTGACAGTGTTGCAGTGCTTTCAACCGGACATGCGTGTGCATAATTTCAGCATATTTACGGCAGTATATGGCAATAATAATGGCACATACATGAACAAATAACAAACAACATAAACCTTCCACTTTATTTTTCGGGGCTATTATGATCTAACTATATTAAATTGATATATAACTCAGTGTTATGTCAGATGCACTCATTAACAACTCAACAAATTACTGTAGTACTATCGTAGGTTGAGTTGTAAAAGCTGCGAGTACAATAAAAGGCCACTAGGGTACGACAGAGTCCACAGAAACGAGTGATACTTTTGAAAGGCCAACAAGTTGTTTATCCTTTGAACTATCCAAACTCAGTATACATTGTTGTAGGTTAAATAAATAAGTTATTGGGTCCCCTTCCCTCACACCCTTGTGCATCACACCCACCCATAACCTTGTGAGTAATCATAGGCAGTCTTTACAATGCTTATAATAAATGTACACAGCGTGTTTCATAAGTATGGTGTATTTAAATGAGAAAAAGGTATCTTAATTTGAAATAACTACTCAGATGCTTTCTAGAACAAATATGCCTTTTATTATCAAATATCTGAACATTGCAATGAATGTATTATTCTCACATTTAAGAGTGCACAATTTTCATATCAACAGGCCTTCAATAAATAATCTGTGAACATAAGTGTAAATGCAAATACAATAATTATGAAATGATAAAATATACAGTATAGCACTGTGAAAAATGGGGCAAATCAAGCAAATGCTTTGGCACTTTCAAAGTTTCACATATACAGATTTACATAAATGGGGTGCTCAAAAATATATAATCCAGAAAACCAGACTTTGGAAAAATAAAATAAGCCTTTATCTAAAGGTAGCAAAGCCTGCTGTGAATATTAATGTCATTATTTTCATGTTTCTGATATTTTCTTTCACTACAAAATGAAGAAAGAAAGAAATAACACTACCAAGACAAATTCTTAGTGTGCATATAACAAAAAGCAAAATAATATGTCTTATTCATGGTGGCAGATGAAAAACAACCAAAATGAGTGAATGAGGCCACAGAGAAAAAAACATTCAAGGATTTGTGTAAAAGGAATAATAAGCTGGCATGCCTTTGGATGAGGAGGCATCTTTGCTGTAGGAGCTACCGTTAGTGGCAGCAGAGACCAAGTCCTCACACTTGATGTCAGAGGCTGAGTCTTCTGTACTCAGACCATTAAGAGACAAACGCCTTCTTTTGCAGGTTGTGGCATAAACATCAGCCTTGTCAAGAGAAAGAGTTGATGCCTGTGTCTCTGTCCAGGAGGCGATTAGGCTTCCACCACTGTTTGCCTCCTCTTCTATCTGGGGTTTACCTTTTTCTGAGCATTCTGGGAAGCCAGCAGTTGGACTAGGTCTGGGAGACCAAGGCAGGCTAGGTGTGACCTTTCTCTGGTATGCTGCTCTGGACCCCCACCCTGCTGACATGGTGGTGAAAGGAGAGTCTGGATAGTAGCTCAGAGCATGGGATGTTTGCATGGACAGGGATTTGATACCATAAGGAAGCAGGGAACTTGAGTAGTCACCCTCATAAGGTGTCAGATCTAGCTTGTTGCTAGTGCTAGTACCATTTCCCCCTTGCTGCATGGAGGTGACAAACCACCTCTGCGAAGCTCCATCCTCAGTCTGAGGTGAAAGGAGGCTGTGACTTTGCGGTACTGCTCTCTCACTGTTGTAGAAGCGATTCTGGGGAAGATTGTTGACAAACTGGTCCTGGAAGAGAGGCTGCATAGTGTAGCGGGCACCGGGGACAAGCTGATGAGCACGTGGCGAGTCAGTTGGAGATGGCGTAAGGCGGTCATTCTCTGGAGCTGTGTATATTCTAAAAAGTACATGGTGTTTGTTAACTTGAGGTCAAGGATGATCAGTGATTCCATAAAAACAAAATAAAAAAACTAACTAAACATAAGCTTGTTGTGAAAATGTTTTTCTAAGAGAGCTGGGACAACAACATATAGCCTAGGTGAATACTGCAAATCAAATTTTCTTATGTGGGATAATAAAGATTGACTAAAATTAATTAAAATTACAATATACAGTAACACATAGGTCTACAACAGTGTTTTCCTGAGTTTTAGGAAATGTGATATTTAGGCTATACTGTGATAATACTTGATAAACAAGGCATGAGAATGAAGTAAATATACTTACGAATCATAATTATCTCTGAATCCTTTGGCAAAAGGGTTGTGATCAATTTTCAGCTGTGTGATCTAAAAGAAAAGAAAAAAAGGAAGAATAAGTCAGGACATACAACTAACAGCTGATTAACACTGCTATTCATGTCAACTGAACGAGTTTTAATAAGTAGAACTTACACAATAAGATAACATAATAAGGCTAAGGATAAGGATAATCACCTTTATTGGCCAAGTATGTTACAAACAAGGAATTTGTTTCCGGTACAGAACCGATGGTCCATGCTAATTATATAGCATACTTGAACTCAACATATTATGGGGTAGAAGAAAAGCAAAGGGGAATTAGTCATGCTTACATCGGTGTTCTGGTAGGCAGTGACAGCTATAAACTGGGTCTCTGGAAAAGTGAAGCTCTGCGTCTTTACGTCACTGTTAATGTCCTCCACCCCGTCCTCCGTCACCTCTATGATGTGCAGCCTCGGTTGGTACTTGTGCAGGGATTGCAGCACAATCATCTATATGAACACGGTATTTAAAATAAATCAATAAAAATAAAAACACTACTCGCATATATACCCGCGATATTTGCGCAAAGCGTATAGTTCTATAGGCTGCTGGCCTCAGGGCGCAAAACTATTCTACCCTCGGCAAAGGTGCCTTGAATTTAGGAGATTCTATTTTACTTAATGGCACACAATCCTCCATGTGAGAGCCGTTTATAAAAGACTGCAAATTAATGTCCTTCTAAACATAATTTAAGAAATTGAAAACGAATTGAAAAATGACATGTGGCCATTTTACATAAAACTACTCATCCCTTTATTACCCAGTATGAATCGGGTAACTGAGAAGCAAAAGTGATTTATATTCTACTAAAGAGACGGCTGTGGCTCAGGAGGTAGAGTGGGTCATTTCCTAACTGGAGGATTAGCGGTTCGATTCTCGGCTTGTCCAGTCAACATGTCAAAGTGTCCTTGAGCAAGACACTAAACCCCCAGTGAGTGTGAATGGCCAAATAGTGTTGTGTTTGGGAGTGTGAATGGCCAAATAGTGTGAAAGCGCTTTGAGTGTGCTGTAAAAGCATAGAAAGGTGCTATACAAATTTAAGACCATTTGTGAGGCTGACTGATACTGAAAACGACCAATTAATCAAAGTTCAACACAACTAAAAATACTTTAATGCTACATTACATCACCTTGGACTGGCTATTAATTAGTTTATTTAGGCCTATTAGTCTGGCATACCTGTGAAGTACTGTGACTTGTTCCTTTGTTGTTGGTGAGTTTCAGTTTGCTGAAGGAGATTTCTTGTCTCATCCAGTGGGCCCCTGTGTTGGGGGACTCTGGATGGATATACACTTTGTTCCCTGAAAAAGAAAAGGTCCACGTTATACACCATCTAACGCCAGTGGCTATCTGCAAGTAGATTATTTAATTAGCTATTCGTTGAAAAAGAGGGTAGGCTACAAATTACACGCCTACACTGCAAAAGATAGGCTATACGCTACCTGTAAAAATAAGTTTTATTTTTTGACATTAACCTATGTTTACTAAATAAGATTTCAATTTGATTTTTTTTTTTCATTTCAGTTATTGCCAAAGAGTTTTAGGAGGTAAAATCGAATAAAACGAAATGTTAAAAGGTCAGTATCGATCTGTTTCCATACCTTGGCTGCTGTTGTCCGCCTTCCCACAGGTGACCCACTTGCCACCCTGAAATCTCCAGTGGTTCGGATCCGCCAGCACCACCTCCACAAACACATTGTAGTGCGCTGTCAAGTTGAGACCAGCTATGTTAAAACTGAGGAATGGGAACATCCGTCTGCAAACAAACACACACAGTAATAGTAATAAAATGAAGGCACAGTAGGCTATTGAAGATATAGTTACTTCAGAATATCCCTATTACTATACAGCGTTTAGAACAAACCAGCGAAACTCTGACGGCATCCTAATTGAAAAAGTAATCAACAGAACCGATGTTCACTGAAATCCATCTCACCTGCCCTGCTTCGTGATGATCATCTCCGTCTGGTGCCGGTGGAACTTGAGCCACAGCGGTCGGTTGCAGAGGTAGACCTGGGCCCTCATCCCCGGGCCCGCTGTGGGTAGAGTCATGCCGCCCAGAGCGGACCCTGAGCCGGTGTAGGGTGGGTAGATGCAGCCGGTGCTCTGCCCGAGCTGGTACGTGGAGCTGAAGTGAGTGCGGCCGGCTGTGGTGGGAGAAAACCCCGCGGGAGGCAGTATGGAGCTCAGGTGGATAGATGATGGGTACCTGCCAGCGCCGGACGGGGTGTACACCGTCCCACCAGGGGTGTAGGGCAGGGACTCGCTGTTTCTGAGCTCTGTTTAGTAACCGCGGGAGGGATGTAGTATCGATCAGCAGCCAGCCCGTGTTCTGTATACCTGCTACCGGCAGTCGGATCGTCCCCATCCACAGCTGGAGACTTGCGCCTCTCCTCCGCTGCTTGCTTCGTAGAAGAGAAGCTGCTGGTCTCCCCTTCACCGTCGAGCATGACTGCTTTTCTTATCCTGACTCAGGCTTGTAACAGGGATCGATTGCTTCCCTTGGGCCCAATTGACAGCAGTCTTCTCCAGAGGTTTCCCTTCCTCCCAGGAGTCACTATTTTATTTATTTTTCTCACTGTATTCAGCTAAAAACGTTGCATCCACTGAAGTCTGAATCCCTATGACAGAACAAATTAGGACAGCCCAAGTTACACATCTACAGTCATCGAGTACATGAATCCACTGGAAAGGCCCAATACAAGTGCAAATGAAATTTGTGCGTAAAGGACAATACAGCGAGGCGGTTGTGGAAAGGCCGTCATATCAAAGCCGAAGCCTCTGTGGGCGTATCGGGGAGTGGCCGTGAAGTCTGTGATACCAAAACCTGAACGATGAATTTCAGTCGCCTTCTTTTAAAAATCAGTAAAACTAAATATCTTTGGTGTAAGGAATTAGCCCCTTTCTTTCTTTCTTTCTTTCTTTCTCTCTTTCTTTCTTTGTCTCTCTCTCTCTCTCTTTCTTTCTTTCCTTCTTTTTTAATAATAAATAACAATGATCAGGATTAGGGAGAATTATTCCATCGAAGACAGTATAAGGCATTACGCCTTACTTTTTGTATGATTTGAGTTTCACAGGAAGGTGATAAATGTGCCATGTGATTCAGGTCAGTAGTTCAGATGACGAATTTGTATCTATTCTAGTCAGCAATCAAAAATAAGTGAGGTGAACTGGTGCCACTTAGTTTTATTTGGACAGTGCTGGGGGGGAATCGCAGAGAGGTAAGAGCCAGTTTCTTGTAAATCATATGACAAACTTTAAGTAAAGCACAGATTTTGGGGGTAGTCTTGTGGTGTAAAACCGAAGTGAAAACTCACCCACGATTCTTGAAATCTGTTGCATATTTTGAACGATTCTAATAGCTATAAACCGCAACATTTTCCGAAAAAACAAATTACGCTATTTTTATATTCTATAATTAGTCTATATAACCCCACGGAAAAAAAAAGGTTGGCAAGACATTTATACTTATAGACCATTCTTTGTAGAAAAAATCGCCAACAAATGTGTGCCTTTGTAGTAATAGATGAGCTGCTGTTAATCCTATAACCTAATATTATTCAAAGAAAATGAATTTGCATTCATTCAGTTCTGATGCGGTTCTGTTTCCCAAAGGGATACCAGACGTGAAGAGGAGAAATAGTCTATTATTTTTCCGTTTGAAGAAACCTGTGATATTTCTTGGCTCAGACAATTCATGTTAGAAACGACAACGAGCAAATATAAAAGATCCTACCCACAAAAACAGGAATAAAGAAATACATAAATACATAGAATTCTGTGTACATGCAAATGGAGTGAATTAATAATCTATGGCCCGATTCTTTCTCTTAAAACAGAGAATAACCCCTCAATATTAACTTAGGCTAATTGTTATTTGTATTTTGGGGAAAATAGCGTAATGCTTTAATTTCCCATTTATTTGACTGCTACATTTTTTATTTCATTGGAGTGAAGTTATAAAAATACTTTGACTTACCAAGCAATTGCTCCTCTTGGTTCCCTTTGTAAATCAAGTTGAAGGCAAAAATATTCGAACTAAATAAAAACTAGACTGTCTTGGGCAACGTCAAGGCGTGAAACAGCCTGCGAAGCTGAGCCCAGACCAATACATGCCATGACGTTGTGCTTGGGGTCGAGGAGGGAGTCTAGCTTACAGCCAGAACCATGTGGAGGAGAGAATGGAGACGCACTCCTGCCTTCCCCGCTCCTCTCTCCTTGTGGCCATGACGCACAGATCGCAGCCTATTATCAGATGCTCATCTGATCTCCAGAGGAGGGGCAGGGAATCCTCAGCATCGTAGCCAAGGTGTATAAAAGCAGGGATATTTCCAGTCCCTTCATGAACTGTGAGACATCACTAGAAGTGTCATCACTGAGGGTCAACAGTGCAACTTCATTTATGGCTTATGGTATCTACACTTGATTTTTTTAAAATCCTATTTTAAAAAGACCACATATACTTAAAAATGCATTCAATCAAAAATATATATGTATTAATTTAAGCTTCAAGTAGAGCCCTGGTAAGTCAGAGAGATAGAGACCTCAGGCTTCAGACACTGCACTGACATGGTGTGCAAAATGTGGCAGACTGAAAGAAGTGGAAATGTAAATGTAGCTACCCCAGTGACGATACACAATCCTGCGTTTTCATGTCAGTTTTGCTACAATAGTTGTGTAAATGGACCATTGAAACTCAGCTGTATCGCTGCCTTTGTAATGTTGATTAAATACTATCACAAACAATCAATATGAATATCAGTGCTAATGGGAGTGAGATACTTCAACTGGAGGAACAGCCAAAGCATGAAATGTGGGGTTTTGCTGGCGTGGGGATGAAGAGAGCAAACACTATGAAGACAATGATCTGTGGTCTGAGCTTCAGTGATAGTGAAGCAGAAACTAAAATTCAGTGTGAGAATATCAACAAGTTAACACTGGAGCTCACATAGAAACTGTGCATTTTGACTGTCTTCTGTGACTCACCACAATAAAAAGGCTCATGACGAATGCTCCCCATTTGTG